ACTTTGCATAAGTGGATGGCTCAGGTCTATTAAGTGTATGATGACAATAAGCGCCACCAATCAAATTCGCCTCACGTGAAGATAATTTCAGGTTTATGGCATTTAATATACATGGCATTTTGAGAGAAACTAACGGAAAATTTTAAAAACCGAGAGAATTTCTGTTAAAACATACCTTAAAACTGTTATAAAATTTTATTTGCGTAATTTGGATAATTTTTAAAAAAAAAATAAAGAAATTATACAATATGTTCATATTGTTAAAAATTTTGATAATATATAAAAATGAAAATGCTACTACGTTCAGTCATCAAAATAAGTAATAAATTTAAATCCATACTAGGAATGTATTACATATGTTCAGACAATAAACTTTCAAGCAAATTACAACCTTTCAATCTATACGGATGGTTATAAAATGATCTGCGGAGTAGGACCAGGAGTAATCGCGCCTGGTCTTCGCGCCTATATAATTCTACAACACCATATGGTATATATACCATAAATAATTAAAAAACACGAAATCATTAACCAGATCAAAGTTGACGATATTAGATCTGTCACTGCAGTTATTATCATTCGGAACATTAACAAGGATGTTAGCAGTGGACCTGATTTCTTGATAATCTGTAAATATACAATGAAAATTTCCTTATGAAATAAATATAAAATAATTAACTAGAACAGCGCGGTCCAGACCAGATGAAATCGCGGGCCAATACAAGTCACTTAATAGGTTATAGGGCCTCAGAAATAAATACATACGTTTAGAATTTCCGGAGAATTATAAAAATACGGCGTTAGTTTCTTTTGACTCGCTGGGTTCCAGTGTTTTGGGTAAAATTGTTTTGGTGGTTTCTGATTTTATTCTTTTGTGTGTTGCTGACAATTACATCTATGATTGTGTTAATTCAAAGATCTCTATGAATATTCGCGTTTTTTATATACCAGGGGGCATCGACTATTTGTCGGAGGATTTTTGATTGAGTTCTTTGAAGTTTTTCAATGTTTGAAGCAGAGCTTCAGACTTCAATTCTGTAGGTCCATATGAGTTTTATTATTGTATTGTAAAGTTGCATTTTATGGCTGAGATTAAGTTTAGAATTTTTACTTACCAGCCAGTTTAGTTCTTGTTGCTTGAGTTTTAATTGGGTTACTTTGGGTTTTTTTTTTGGTTAATTGAGTTTTTTCCACGTACGCCTTCGGTTGAGGTGCATTCCTAAGTATTTTGTGTCATTGCATTGGGGTATTACTTTCCCATTAATACGAAGTAATTTAAAGGAAGGCGCTGATATAAAGCTGTGTCAGGTATGTTACTGTTTGTTTTAAACTCTTTTATATAGCCATTTCCAACCTGCCTGTATCTACGTACAGATTTGAATTTAATGTGTCCTTATTACTGTTCCATCCATATTACTGTTCAATTAACACTAACATATGCAATTTTATTCCAAATATATTGCTTTATAGCAGAGTTATTAATGGTTAGCTTCTAAATAACTCATAAATATCGTTTTTTCTAGTTATCACATATTCTATAATATAGTATCAAAAAAAATATTGCGTAGTCGAGTTCTTAGTGATCAAACTATCGAATAATCGTGTTCATTAATATTTTTTTAAAGAGGTTTTCGAACAGAAGTGAAACAACAACAAAAATTTATTTTTTTAAATTATTTTTAATTAATTGAATTTTTGGCTGACCATACAGCTGTTTCGAGTATTGCCAAATACCCTTCATCAGTGGTCTTGGAAATAATTCTTATATTTAATTATTCGTAAATAATTATTTTTGAGACTGCAAGTACCAGGAATCGAACTCGGGTCCTGCCAAATATGAAGCTCAGAATCAGCGCACCTTAACCAACTGATCCAAAGCCGTACTTGACTTTTTATGTTCGCATATTTTTGCTGGAGTTTTGTTACTTTTGCTATGAAAGTTTTTATTAACAATTTTACTTGCTGTATTTATATATTAGAACGAAATCATAAACCAGCTGTAGAATAATTGAATTAATTAATTAATTATATTTTTTTTTATTTTTAATTGTTAAATCTCAAAACTATTCTATTCGTAGAGGCATTATTTGTTGCATGATTTGTTCTTTCTTATGTATAGAACCTAATCTAGGAACGTAATGCTGAGAAAGTCATGCTAATGTTACTCCACTAGTCGCACGGGCGAGAACCAATATTTATTGGCGAGAACCATATTTTTGTGAATAAGTTGTAATTTTTTTGTAATTTTTTTTTTCTGATAGTTTGGTTAATGAAGTATAAATATTTTTTGTTGTATTTAAAATATCTGTTATCTGCTTACTATCTTCATAAAAATGCAAGTCAGTATATTTGGCTTTATAATGTAAATATATTTTTCAATTTCACAATGTTACTATAAAATTTAGTTTAATATGCATATATGCAAACAAATTGCAAATAAAATTTATTGAAAAAATAACATTTTACGAAATCATTTAATACAGAAAATATTTTTCATAAATTCTGAGCATCAAAAACATAAATAAACTGCATTTGAAATTTCTGCATTAAATTGAGTAGCAAAACTAAATATTTTTTTATTTGCATCCAAAAAACCACAAAGAATAAGTTTTTTATGTTAGTTTATTTTTATCCCTAACCTATTTAATCATACATTGTGGAAAATTTGTCAATAAATATATATAAATATATATATTTCAAATATATTCGAAATACATTTTATACTAAACACAAAATTTATGCTCGTTTGTATCCAAGTGTGATTATAAGCAAATAAATATTTTATTTTGCTTTCAACAAAAAACCTCGCATAATGATGACGGCAATATCACAAGAAAGGAAAATATCACCGAGTTCAATTGAAGGAAAAAAGGACATATTAAATTGTGCAGATAAAATACGAAAGGACGTATTGTATGTCGAAGTTTGATTAAAGATAAAAAATTGTATGTGTGAATAAATTTTTGTGTTGAACATAAACAGAATTTATTTTTGTGTTTATTTGAGTGTAAAATATTGTTTATATATTTATTACTTCTCTCTCGTTTTTGCTTTTAACATAACATGATACTGAATGTTGTGGGCATATATTGCTTACCATAACATATAATATAATTAGTGTTAGTAAGAAGAAATATAAATGTTCTTTCTATTATTAAAAAAAAATTACTAATTTTTTTACTATTATAAGTACTATTTTCTATATTTACTAGAAGTGTGAGTATATTAGATATATTAGGTTGTTCGGAAAGTAATTTCGTTTTTATTTGTGGGGTAGAGATAAGCCCCCCAACCATTATAGAGTAAAAGTGCGTAATAGCACTAACTCAAGAAGAAGAAGAATCAAGAATCAAGATCATAAACTGTTGAATTTAAAAAAATTTAACTACAATCCGATCTCAAGTGTTGTTATTCGCCGGTTCGCAACAACTAATGCCTTTATCGCGTCTTTATCAGCTTCAACTGGCCTTCCCGAACGTGGTGCATTTTCAACATTAAAATTACCGGATCAAAATTTAGCGAATCAGTTCTGGCACTGGCGTACTATCAACACACCTTTTCCATACACATTGGTCAATTTCTTTCTGTCTTGAACAACATTTTTACCCTTTCTGTAATAAAACAGTAAGATATGTCGATCGTTCTCTGCATTTAAAAGGGCACTAACCAAAAACGACAGCGTAGAATTATTTGGAATTATTTACATATAAGCCTTCCTATATGAGTTATTTTTCCATTAGGTGCGTTCCCTTATGTCCACTTTGAAGTGTTTGTTGAAGCAAATTTTCTTATCCATATTACCGGAGACCGCAAGACACGGTGAGATCCGTTAAAACTTCACTTAAAAATCAACTTTGTATGGTGCGTTCCCTTATGTCCACTTTGAAGTGTCTGATGAAGCAAAATTTCTTATCCGTGTTATCGGAGACCGCGAGGCACGGTGAAATCCGTTAAAACTTCACTTAAAAATCAACTTTGTACTCTTTTCAAAATCTACTTTGTTGTTTCTCCATTAGGTGCGTTCCCTTATGTCCACTTTAAAGTGTCTGATGAAGCAAAATTTCTTATCCATATTACCGGAGACCACGCGACACGGTGAGACCCATTAAAACTTCACTTAAAATTCAACTTTGTATAGTGCGTTCCCTTATGTCCACTTTGAAGTGTCTGATGAAGCTAAATTTCTTGATGAGATCCGTTAAAACTCCATCTATCACTTAAAAATCAACTTTGTATTTAAAATAATGTGTAATAATTTGTTTTTGTGTTAAGCCTATTCCACTACTTCTTGAGAATGGTGAACTAGGTATTATTAATCAACTATAGTTTTCAAATTTTCTTATTTTACTCTGTCCAAGTCTTACTTTTAATTTTGAATTTAGGACATTTTCCATTAGCATATTGGTGTATTTTTTCAATGTTTTGTGGAAATAGTAAGTGATAAGCACTGTGAAGAGATTGAATTCGTATAAAAATCCTATTTATATATATCTTGTCCTCTTTATATTAAAGGTCATTGAAATGTAAAAGTAAATTTATTCCGAAGTAATACAGTTAATAAAAAAGCTTAAGCTTAATAAAATAAATGCTTAAAAGTTATTTTTAGTACTTATTTTTAGACTTTAATTTTATTTCACTTAAGCTTTTTTGTAAATATATTCCTTTTAAGCAATGGATTGATAATTATCAAATAGTTTCATTTTGCAGAAACGATATAATATATTATAATTAAGTCGATCAAAAAATACAAAAATGTAAGGAATGGTATTAATCGATGTTGAATTATGTTTTAAATAGTGATATTAGTAATGAACATATTATTCCATAATACATAATAATAAAACCGATTAATACTTAATATCTCATAATATTACCTCACACTATCACGTTATCTGTTGCAAAACAACTAAAAATATTTTGCAATAAAAATATATAACTTATTTATTTGGCTGAGTCAGAAATATTTTATTAAATATTAATTAATGTATATAACAATTTTTTTATACAATAAATTGTTGTATATATATTAACATATTTATTTACTGTCTAGGACCCCAAGATAAGATTTTAAACATATCCTTTGTTAACTGGCGTAAATCAATGCAATTTTTTTTTAATTCTCGTAATGGCTTCGATATTTCCTTGGAACTCTAAAACATAATAAATCGAAAAAAAGAAGAAAAATATTTTAAAAATCAAATTAAAATTTAAATTTAAATAAATAATTAAAATATAACTATTATTTGCCATATGAGTTGACGACTTCTAGATTGGTAATAAAATAGTTTATAGTCTTTTTTCTTAGGGCGGTGAAATACTATAGACTTTCTGATTACTGTAACATAATAATTATGTCAAAATATATTATATGAAATATATTATTATGTTATTATATTATATTATTATATTATATTATTATATTATATTATATTGCAAGGATATTATATTTTTTATCCTTTTTATCGTTATACATTTTAACCCTAACTAAGCTTTCAAAGAGTTACAAAGAGAATATTATAATATTTTCCGTAAATGCGTTATATTGGGAGTATTCATAATCTTTTCTGTGTTTTTTTCCATTTAATAGGATTGACTAACTTTAGTTGGAAAATACATAAAAATAAGAACAGACATATATATATATATATATATATATATTGTATGACCAGAAATACAAGTATTTACTTTGTACGAACCTCAATATGTACTTCACTGCATTACAAATATTAGAGAAAGTTATTGCTACCGGAAAAGTTTAATCTTGCTTTGAAGTAAGTAATACAGTGAATAAAATTGTATTTATATTATCAGATAGTCAATTCCTAAAAAGTATTTGAATTCAGTGCAAACTGCATCTATGAGGGTTTTTCTGAACAATTTCTGCAGTTCAACATTTCATTATATAAAGCTCCTGCTCAAAGGGATATCGCAATTGCAAAGTAGATAGATAAGTTAGTTGAGCAGGATACGTCAGGATCTGAGGAGGCCGTTACTAATATACAAACAATTTGTTAAATCTTTCTGAGTTAAGATATAGATTCGAAATGGCAGAATTTATTAGGTAGGTAGGTTGGAGTTTACGGCCTTGTATCCCAAAAAGCCCAATTGAGCTCAAATGATGGCCCATTGTGGTACCACAGGAATGGCGTTGGTATGTACACAGATTTAAATCAGTATACATTCAACGCCGAAAGAAGGTAACGACTCCACCATTAGGTAAAGAAAAATCAACCTGACAGTTCTATAAACTTGGCTAGGTTCCTAACATTACAGGATGACAGCTCAGTCAGATCGGTGAGAAAAAGGGATCGGAATATTTTTAATCTTCTTCCAGCTAAGGAAGGACACTGAGACATAAGATGGGGCACGGTTTCCTCCTCATCCTCTGAGCCGCAACCTCGACAAAAATTATTAAAAGGAAGACCCAGTCTCATAGCAGGCTTTACTATTACACAGTGTCAGCATAGATACCGTAGTGCTGAGTAGGTTCCGTCTTAGTTGAAGTAGCTGACGAGTTCTTTTCTTATCTAAATTAGATCAAGTCAACCTAGAAATCTGACATTGAGGTTCGTCAGCCCAGTATTGCTTGGCGCATGCACAATGATATAACTTCAATTTTAGGGATTTACTCTTGAGAAGATTAAATCTTTCAAATTATTTAAATAATTTGTCCTGAGGAGAATGATAAAAGTATGGCTTTTCATTTTGAAATCTTCTTTTAAATAAATTGAAAAATTCGTCCCAGAGTAGGACGATACAACACTTTATATCTGGTTTTTCACTGCAAAGACTATGACTTACGATGTTTAAATGAATTATCAACATTTATATAAGATAATTAACTAACAAGCTTAAATTAACACTTCGGATCGCCATTATAACCTAAGTTAAAGTTTGTTATTGTAAAAAAAATTGAAATTGATTACTTACAAATCCTCGATTTATTTTCCGCCTGAAGGCTGGACTGCGCATAATTCTATAGAAACTGGCGAACTGCGGATATTTGGCCAATTTACTTTCAATCAGTTGACGCACTTCTCGGTGTGACATAACTTTCATAATATCGGTAGTATAAGTTTGTAATGAACGTGGCTGAATTAATATATCACTTGCATTATTAGTACTGAATGGCATTATACTACGTGCCGACCATTGCATTGAGGATATCTGATCTTTTGACAAAATCAAACAATTAAAAATGCGAGGAATGGTTGAAATGTCAATTGTATCCACTCCAACATTTTCAAATTCAGCTAACATATTTTGATATGGTTCACTGTCTTCTATCTGTTCTGTTAAAATCTTAAATCTATTTGTATCTCGAAACTCCATAGCATGTTGAAATCTTGCGTCCAATGCATAATGCTTGCTTGTAATGGCAATTAGAGTACTCATAGGCACTAAATCTCTTATATCACGAAATTGTCTGCACAATGAATATAGATTAGTTCCATTTCCATTGTTTTCACCATTTCCATTATTTCCGCCATCTCCATTATTGTCATCATCGTTGCATTCATCATCAGGTGAATATACACCAGGATAATTAAGTTCATCTTCATCTTCATAATCATAATCCTCTGACTGATGCGCAGCGCATTTATAATATGAAAGTGTTAATAGATATAATAATATAAATGCATTAAATCCAATAGATTTCAACATTTTGCTTCAAACTTAATTCCAGTACGATATTATTTGAGTTTCCGTAGCACTTAACGCTTGCACTGTTGCAAATGCATTGCTTCTGATGCATGAGTAACTTTTATACCTGCAAGCAAATAAGTGTGGATGACTGCAACAATGGGTCGAAATTTTGACGTTATCAGTGGTACTTGAAAATTACATTTTAGTATTTTTAATAGGTGTGAGTACTATTCTTATGTTCTCTGCCCAATTCCATTAACAGATGAAATGAAAATGCATATTACGCCAAAAATAACATCAAAAAGTTTTTAGTTTATCGGTTGAATTGCTTTTGTTGAGAGTTTTCCTGTTTTTAAAAAATAATGTTTTTTGCAGTCAATTAAGTATTTGTGGATGTTTTGCTTACAAATAACACATCGTAACAAATGTTATGTTAACATGTTAAACAAATAATAATATTGCACTTTTGAAGCATTTAATGGAAATATGTAAATGTGTTATACACGGTGAAATGCATATTAAAAGAACTTATTTACAAATACTTTAAATAAATTATGTGAAAGATAACGAATAAGCATGTTTCTTTCCTAATTGATATGCATTCTATGGTGTAGTTCGATTATTTGCGACATATAGCATATCTCATCCATACCTAAGTTCTATGCAAATGGAATTTTTAAGACTCGTCAATCATTACACGTGCTATATTGGAAATCTGCTAAATTCTTATATTTTAAGTCTATTAAGTATTGTACGGATATTATTAAGGAAAATAAGAAATTAATATAATTATACAACAGTTCCTTTCTATATAACTATTAAAAAATATAAAAGAATCGTATCTAAAACTTTTCATTAAATCTAAATAAGGTGTTTTCAACTTTCCTTAGGGTCTTAGAAATAAATAAATTGGTATTAGATAGATTACAGTTTCATTAGAGATATATAGTGCCGAAGTAGGGTGTAACTAAAGAAGTATTCAGTCAAAATATTTTTAACATAATACAGGGTTTCAAAGTAGATTTAATAAACAGTTTCTCACAAACTTTTAAAAACAGTTTATTCAAATATCAGTTTTTATTCCATTAAATAACATTTCATTTGGTTTTCCACATGTTATCATATTCAAAGGAGTTTGAAAACTATGATGAATTTTTAAAAATTTATAAGCACTTTTAAAAAAACTTCATTTATCTGAATTTATCTATTCTGTTGAGAATATTTTCAACTCAAGAATTTCATTTCTATAATGCACAGTTGTTCTATAATTCTTGTTTGCAGTCAACTACTTACAGGTTCTGTCAATAAAAATGCTTAAATTTGCTACATATACAAATTGTATATATTTTATTTGTTTTCTACTGATAATGTATCGTATATAAATAAAACAGTTTTATTATTAATTAACGAGTTGCGCACCATTATAAGGACATCTCTGAAAAAATTATCAGTCCAAAAATTAATTAACATATACATAGACTAGATATCTATGATAGTTGTAATATCAATAGAATATATAAAAAAAAAGAAACATATACATAGACGTGCAAGATCGAATTTCGCACTAACGACAAATAAGAAATCCAATAAACGTTAGTTCTGGAGTCAGACAAATTTGTGTACTTTTTTTAAGATTTTTTGATATTGTTATGGATGATGTCCTAAAAAGAACTCTTCAAAATCAGAAGGCCTAGCTTGTGGTCCTTGCAGCTACTTTAATAAACTCGACTAGTGAAAGAGAAGCCTTTGAAAAAGAGATCGGAGAAGCTCAGTAGATAGTTCTTCGGTACGCAAAATATCAGGAAGGAGGGAAGGGAGTAGTAGTGGGATTCTGAATGACCTGTGATATATCGAAGTTGTGCTTCTAAGTATTTAAATTTGGATGGTTATAGCATACATATGAAATTCAGGTCAGACGTTTGAAGTCTTTCTGAGTGGTCTATATGCCTTCCCATTAGCGTAAAGCCGACATCTTGTTTGGGTTATGTTTGAATTTCGAGTTGATGTAGTACTTTATGAGAACAGCTAGAAATCGATAGATTTCAAAAATTCTACGCGTGGATTTTAACCCCAAATACACTACACAATCGAAGGCATAGCACAATTACTTGATGGAGTGTGAGCGAGAAGTAATGATGGGTAGATGGCGGGGACCATAGAGCCTTGAGTGACGCCTGCAATAGCATAACTAAGAACATATTGTATTTAATTGTATATAGTGCTCACAAAAATGTGCTAGCTTAGAGCACTATAAAATATTATGAATAAAAAATTTTTAAAAGATATTTTCTACATTTATAATAAAAATTTTCTATTAAAAAAATTCAGTTCTAGGACATCCTTTATTTTCTGAATTTAGTAGTGTTTTTTCTCATTTATAAAAATTTTTTTACTTTGGCTTAAATACGCAAGAATTTTAGTGGTATTCAAGTGTTATAGAATTTTATTACTAATAATGCTTATCTGTAAACTATAAATTACATTTTTAATGTTATTATTACTTCGATAACTTTTCGAATGTATTGAAATATATATAAAAAGCGACAACCAAAGCGTATTTCGAACAAAGACAAAATGAATCAATTGATAAGGCTAATGTCCGTTTTGTTAACATGGGTAAATAAATGACTTCAACAGTATTATGAGGCAGTGAATATATATTTTTTTTGGTTAATTTAATCCGCCAAAATGTTGTTAAACATAAAAATTTATTTTTATATTTTGCAAATTGCCATTCAAACAATGAATTTTTATCTATTTTAACGCTGAGTGTTTTATGTTTATCCGAATAAATGGTCATGTCAATTTTGATTTAGGTATTATATTCTACAAAATATTTATTTATATTTTCCATACATAATGTATAATATCTTCGAACAAAATCTTTCAACAGAAAATAAATAGTTTTTAGCATATTATGTTTTATTATTGAAAGAAAATATATTAGAAATATTGTTCTTTTTTTATTTTTTTCCTTTAAATTGCATTCAAATTATACTAAAGAAATAGAGTAATTTTTTTTTGTTGAAAGTAGCCCTGAGGTTTCCTTCACTAAATTTAATTTCTCTTTGAAGCGCTTAAAGGGTACTCGCTTTCCATAATTTCATTTATTGGAATGCATTGTTCAGAATTATTTTCATTAAAGCTTTCGTCAAAGGATTTATTTTAGTAATTGTTTTCTCATAAAGAGCATTAATTTTTAACTTTACAGCTTTTATTAATAATAATTTATGTAGTTTCTGAAATTGGCTAGGAAGTCTTTTGTAACAAGCTCCTTAATATTAAAATTTCAATATTCACAAAGTCTTTGGAATATGTAGTCTTCTGGAACAAGCTCCTCAATAATAAAATTGCAATATGCATAAAGTAAAAATTGAAAAAAAATTAAGAAAAAATAATATTTCAGAAACTTTTTCTTTACTTTGATCAGTGAAAGAAAAAAAATTTAATTAATTTTTGATGCTGAAAACAATGAGTGAAACGTGAAACATAAGGAAACTTTTTCTTATATAAACATTTTATTCTCAATTAAGTCTCACAAAACCACATGGAAAAAACTTCAGCAACTTTTTAAGTTTTTGTTTTATAAGAAATAACCTCTGTAAAATTAGTAATATTATATTGAGGTAAAAGTAGTTATTATCGTTACATTATAATATCAAGTTTTTGAAAGAACTTTTTTTGAGGTTTTTTTTAACAAAGTTTCATCTTGATTAATTTTTAATAAAATAACACACGAATTGTTTTAATTTTTTTTTTTAACTTCATTTTATATACAATCTATTCTAAGTATGAATAATAAGTACTACTTATGGCAATAACAATATTTGACAAGCTTGTACGGGACTTCCCAGTAGTAATCGCCGCCTTATGAATTATTACAATTTCTGCAAAGTTTTGTGTTTCAATTAAGTAGAAGTAAATTGTTGGGATGTATGAGACTACTATTATTATGTTGTAGATTATACAACTCGCAAAACAGAAGTTGCGAAGCGTATTAGTCTACGTATGTTATAAGAATCCCTCATTAGTTCTGCAACAAGGGGGTTAGGGTGAACTACCAGTCGTGAGTGATAGTTGCTGCTTATGTTATTATTATGTTATGCTGTATTGACTTATACATTATAGAGATGATGTACGACGTCATTCGGAATATACCATGGGGCGTAGGCGCAGATACATAATATTTTTGATTGAAATCTCTGAAGTATATCTAGATTTGACTTCGCTGATATACCCCAGATGGGTATACCATTCGTCCAGATTGGCCTTAGGACGACGTTGTATAAAAGTATTTTATTTTGTAGCGCTAACTTAGATTTGGGATTAACTAGCCAGTAAAGTGAGCGTAGCTTTAATCCTAACTGCTTCCGTTTCGTAAAGATGTGGTGACGCCATTTTAGACGACGTTGAAAATGTACACCTAGATATTTGGCGTTTTCAGCTTGCGGCAATTCACGACCATTCAGTCTAACGGGAGGGCAGGTGCCATAGTGGAGTGTAAAGGTAGTTTGGACTGATTTGTTGTCATTAGCTTGCATTTTTTTAATAATTTACAAAAAATAAACATGTTTATTAAACTATGTACTTAGACTAGTTGTACATATTGCAAAAAATTCCTTTCTAATTAATATATATTATTATTTATGTATGAATATTTTTTTGTATGACATTAAACATTAAAATTGAGACTAAAGAGACTAAAAAAACTAAAGACTCAATGATGGACTTACCACTAACAACATCCTGAAAATATTTTGTACGATACTTTCTATTAGCCATTGAAGTAAATAAAAATAAAAGAAAACAAGGGAAAATAATGCAAAAAAGGAAGTTTTATATATGATCAAGAACAAACTTAAGAAAAGGATTGCTGGAATTAAACATAGATTAAAAAATAAAAGTGTTGTTGTAGCTAGTACAGCATTGGCTGTACATTGTATTGACTTGCAAACATAAGCCTGATCTTGACGATGTAAAGATCTTACATAAAAAAGAAACCTAAATAAAAGATACTTTCTGGAAATGCTTTCAATACTTATCATTTTAAATAGTAAGAGACTAAATTATAAATC